ATCCAAAAACAGTGGATTTTACACTTAGTTGTTAAATAGAGGCTACTGTATTACTACATATTTTTATGCACCTATTTCTAATCATTTGCGTATATAAGCTGCATTCCTCATTTTCATTTGCTCTTTTGTACCCCCACCCCCCAAAAAAAGGCTTACACATGAAGAATATGGTACGTGGCATAATGTGACCTAAGGACGTAATGTGGTGTGAGTCATTGTGTTGCCCTAAAACTATTACATCATATTATACCATAAGGCATAATGTTGTGTAATATGGATAACAACATTATGTTTTGGCTCTTATTAAAAATACGTTCAAGTATAAGACGTAGCAAGTTGGTTTTAGGATTTGATCCAATGTTTTAGGTTCATTGTGAAAGAAAGTGATGGACTTTTCATTAAAATTTGATCCTAAGGTGAGAAAGTATTGTGTTAAAAAATTTACACACCTTTTAAGTGAATTTATTAAGAAATGCTTAAAAACATTTTGCATAAAGTTGTGTTAATTAAGTAATTAAGAATTTTTTGACATGTTCGTTACCATCTATGAGAATACACATAATTAGCCAAACTGACTGTGCTTGCCAACTACGAGAAAACTCATTACTCATCTTCTTACTTTAATCACCAAGTACGAGTACTGTTGTAGCAAATACATGCAATATTTAGGTGTTTGGCATACATGAAGGGACTGAATAAATGTACTTGGCATACTGAAATAGGTCATTTTTCAAAGCATACAGAAGTAAATGTTTAGAACCCCAAAACCTCTCTCTCCCCTTTTCTTTAAAAATAATTTGGTATGCTCGAATAATATAATATAGTATAATTTTATAAATGGACTACTCGAATTCTGATCTGTAACTCATGCAAGACTAATGGGAGAAAACATATTTCATGTACAGAAGTTTTGCGTGAATGCTCAGAACACATGAGTATTGTTTATCTAGTTCCGAATTATATCATAGTTAGTACAGAGAACAAAAATGTTGTTTTATATGCCAAGTACAGGTATACTAGTGTGAATTTATTTACTGCTAAAAGTAACCCATTTTAGATATAGTTAAATAATAAAAAGTGAAAACAAAATGTGAAGATGCATATAGGATCATGGCACATATGAATGGATTCACTATTTCAGCTTTAGCAGCAAACATGTTAATTAAACCAAAAACAGGAAGGAATCATAATTTCAAAATGTTATTTTAATAAATGTTTTGTTTTACGTTACTGCTCTTTAAATTTCTGTTTAAACCAGTGCTGTGGAATCGGAGTCGGGCAGATTTTAGGGAGGAAAAGGAAGTCGGAGCTGGAGTCACTAAAAACAGGTTGACTCCAATTCTAGTTTTTGTTAGATCGTTTGAATTTGAAATTAAATTAAAATGAATTGAAAAAAATTAATGACAAGCTGAGTCATTATTTTTATTTATGATTTATATACAGTAATAAATAGTTATTTTCTATTTTATTGACGTATTAATAAATAAATACAAGGGAGGAAGATGGATGTGATAGTTGCCATTAGTGATTAAATTGATTCATTTAGTTACAAATTTCACTGGTAAATTTAGATAAACAGCTATAGCAGCAAGAACTCCCAAAACCGATGCCATTCTTAGGAAGCGGGCAAGAAAAGGAGATATTATTGATCAAGCAATGTAATAAGGAAGTATATATTTGATGATAAATTGTTAGAATTAAGAACTTTTTTAGAAGATGTAAATAACCCTAATGTTTCAATAACAGAAAGACTGTGGAATGATCTTGCAGAATTGGAAACTCTTCTTTTTACACCGTATATAGCCACAAAAAAGCTGCAATCTGAAGAATTGATAGGAGGCAAGAATGTGATGTTTGTTCCTTGCACAAGGAATCATTTCTTCAATTAAGAAAAGAGAAACTAATTTACTAGACAATGAGATCGTGCTGGGGTTCAATATATGTAGATCTGAAGCACTGAATTTTCTTGAATGACGAACAAATTAAAAAGGCAAAGAAAGCCATCTATGAACTTTTATTAAGAATGAAATTATTCTCAGAATAATTGGAGAATTTGAATCAGGACAGTCAAACTGCAGACATTGCAATTGAGTCTCTATCATCCTCTTCCAGTGATGAATTAGATTTTGAGAAATATTTTTGGATAATATTGAGGCTAAGGCAAAGCGAGTAAAAATAAAGAAACAAGAGCCTTTAGATATAAAAATGAAAAAATATAAACAAGATTTCTACACGGCCTTTGAAGAAATAGAGAAATATGATTGTGCTTGCAAGACACCTCTTTTAGAACTTATCCTAAAAAGTTAAAAAAAGTAGCCCTAACAGTAAGAACTCTTTCTCTTACTCAAGTTAGTGTGGAAAGACTCTTCTCAGCTCTGAAGTTTATCAAATCGGATCTGTGGCCCTCCAACAAAGAAGATCTTGCTGAAGCTATACTGTTTCTTAGAAATAACTAATGCCAGCTTTTCCATTTCATAATAAATGCTAATTAATATAAATAATTTGCTATGCCATCAATTTTTCCGTGTAGCATCTATTACTACTTTTATATTAAAAAATCTGATGTGTACACCACATAACTTGTACAAAATATTAAACTATATGCATTTTTTCTTGCATTTCATTTAAACTTATTGGATTGAATAAAATCTATTTCGCCGACAGCGCATAAACCACAATAGAATAAATGCATTCTTTAAAATTCACTCTATTTGTGTACCATAGTGACACTCTGGCGCTAGGTTCACTTAACAGTATTATATTTCGTTCATAACTCAGAATGCACAAACTTTATATCATTTAAAGAATTATCTAATCGTTGCCATATGTTCTATTCAAATACTATAATAAAGCTAGAATGATGTATAAAAGAAATTAAGCAAACAAAACAAAAAAGAAACAATTTTTCACAGACGATTGAGTATTTCTCATTCAATTAATTCAGTTCTCACTTTGCGACAAGTCAAAAATACATAGAAACTCAAAATATCTGTATTAAAAATTACGAAGTAAATCTTAAACACTTATTTCCTCGACAAAATTCCAGAAAGGGTTAAGCATGATTTAATTCGCAATGATAAATGAAGGCTTTATCTTTGTTGTTGCCAAGCTAAGTTTCTCTAGATTGGCAACAAATAGCAACAAATCCACTATCCTGCTGTTTCAAATGTAAACAAGCAATGGCTGCCATCAAAAAAATTATTAAGCCTAACGGCACTTAAACAACTTTAAAATTGTTCATAATTCTGAAATTATTGCATACAGATTTACTAAAGGCATAAAAACATTAACCGGAAGATAAGAACAACATAATTCAATCATTTTTAAAGCAAAAAATTTACAATTTACAAACATTTAAGAGTAAAGAAACTTAGATCACCGAGCCGGATAACAGAGTGGATATATATATAAATATATTTATACACGTTTGGTGTGGCCGATTGCAACCAAAATACGAGATGCACATCTGCATGTTATAGCAGTCCTATATACAAAATTTCAACAATGGGAGATTACTCGGTTTTGAGTTATGCGAAATATGTACGTTCATACAGACGCCACGAAAAATTCTCTTCAGAATTAATTTAAAGCAATTTTATAATTTTTTTGGAAGAAAAGAGTATTTTATTCTGTCCTTACATATAAATATCATGCAAAAACATCGTTAAATTGCATTCGACAGCGGTCAAAATGGATATTTTCATTGAAATATGCTGCCTGAATCTTTTCGCGATTACAATACTTCCTTTTTACTTCGTACAAGGAAGTGAAAATATGCTAGAACCCTTGTATATATATATGTATACAGTCAAGAGTCTTGAATCCGGACGTCCACAATCCGGAATGATCTATAATCCGGACCTCAAAGCTAACGCATGCGCATAATATGTTTACACATGCGCGTTTAATGTATAATGGACGGTATAAACTAAGGTGAAATTATCTAATTATCTATTTCAGTTAGTGTTGCAGATTGCATTGTTCCTTAATCTTCTAATTGGATCTGGCTCATTATTTTTTGCAGACTGTTAGAGCAATTTTACAAAAGTAAGCTTGAACTTTCGATTATGTCAAAAAGAATTTCCGATTCTGGAGTTACCAAAGGATCTACAAAGCGAAAGCATATTTTGATGTCCATCAAACAAAAAGTGGAATTGCTGCAAAAAATGGATAAAGGCATATCCTTTGATTCTCTAATCATTCCGAAATATGTTTATCAATTTCACGCTGCTCTGCGGGGGGGGGAGGCGATGCAACGTGCAATGAAATGGAATTTGATCTGTCAGCACTATCCTTATCTTCAGGGCAGATGTTTTTATTTTATTCGGCTTATAATTCCTTACTAAATGTAGTATTTCATCTCGCTGTACTCTGTTTTTGATATGATTTAAATCAAATTCCTCGTCATTATAAATATCACAAATACACATCAAATAGTTTTCTGGTTGCAATTTTCTAATTTCGACTATGAGTAATGTATGCTTTATGCATGCATGCGTTGAAAAAAATGTTTAATAAAGTAAACAAATAAATATAAAGCTTTTTGTTTTTTGTAAATTTTGATACCCTTTAGATCATAATTGCTCTTTATTTCATAAATTATGGTTTCATACTTTTAATTTTATAATTTCTGCATGCCATCTTACCAGATTTAAACTGATGATCTATAATCTGGAAAAACCGATAATCCGGAATCTCTGAAGTCCCGATGAGTCCGGATTAAAAACTTCTGACTGTATGTATATATGAGGGAGTTAGAGTTTTTAAAATTCCAGGGAGTCGGTCATTTTCTCTACCGACTCCACAACCCTGGTTTTAAACATTAAAATATATTTTCTTTTTGACTGTTGTTATTTTACAATTTTTAGCTCAAGTGATTGAAATTTTATTTGCTTCATATTTAAATCATTTTATTGTCTATATTAAAAAAAAAAATCATTTTGTGTCATGCTATTTTTTTAAAAAAAACCTTTTAGTAATATTAAAATTTTATCTTTCAGAAATCAAGATGATTATCAGCTTGTTAGAAAATTGGGAAGGGGAAAATACAGTGAAGTCTTTGAAGCCATTAACATTACAAATAATGAAAAATGTGTTGTTAAGATATTAAAAGTATGTACATTTTGAATTTTCGTTTATATGTGATCTAGATTATTTATACATATATTTGTATTTTCATTTAAACCTTTAAAGCATCTGGCTGATATAAAACATCTAAATTTAGAGGAATATTGATAGATTATTGTTTTATTCTTTTTTATTGCATATTTTTTTTATAACCTCAATGTAAGGTTAAGTTTTATGAAAGTTTTGATCAATAAATATGTGTTGTTTCTATTAAACTGTATGAAAATAATCTTAACTACATTTCATAATATTTTTTAACAGAATTAATTTAAATTGTAATGGTTTTTCAATTGTGAAATTTTTGAAGTTATCAGATTAACTTTCATTTTGTTTCTTTTTGTTTGTACATTCGTATCTGTGAAACATTAGTAACTGTGGTAATTACAATAATTTAACGTACAGGTTAACATCAAATGTAGGGTCCATGAAAATGAATAATTTATAGTCATATTAGAAAAAATTAAGAAAAAATATTAGGAGTGCCATTAATGCCTAAAAAATGTGTGAAATATTAATCATTTTATACTTTCCCTAAAATGAGTAGGTATTCTTTAGAATGCTGAATTTCATATTTTGCCAGTAACAATGGCAGTCAGCATCTGTGGTTGAGATAGTGGCTCATTTTTACTGTTTCAGTATATGTAGTTTTGTAATTTTTAAAAGTATTGTGCAATATTATTTTTGGTCTGTGCTTATTTGATATACATGAAATATTCTAAAATTCTTATTGAAATTTGAATCTCATTTTTGAGATATATCATTATATCTCAAAAATGCAAAGGTTAGCAAGTTTCTTCCACAATGGAAACTGCAAGGTGCACATCTGCATGTTATAGCAATCCTATACACAAAATTTCAACGTTTTGATGCTACTCGTTTTTGAGTTATGCGAGATACACACATACGCAAGGGCGCCACGGAAAACTCCCTTTAGAATTCATTTTAAATAAGTTTTATAATTTTTTAGGGGGAAAAGAGTCCTTTATTCTGTCTTTGTGTACAGATGTCAAGCAAAAAAATCGTTAAATTGCATTCAATAGCACTGAAAATGGATATTTTCGTTGAAATACGATACCCGAAATTTTTTTGCGATTACAATGCTTCCTTTTTATTTCGTACTAGGAAGTAAAGGTATATGTTCAATGACCTCTTTTTTAGTTTTAACCTTTTCCATATTGAGATTTAGTATTTAAGAATATTCACAAAAAAATCAAAAAATGAAAGTACTACTTCAGAAATTCTTTACACATAAGAATGGTAACTATCATTGGTTTAATTCAAATGAAACTGATATATGGCCTCTGAAATTGGTCAAGAGTCATTAATGAAATTGTTCCCCAAATTTCTCTTCCAACGCTGCGAGCTTCAAATGGTACCTCTACTCCCAAATAAATTCCAAATTTGGTTACAAATGGAATTGGATAACAAATGGAATGTTGGTGTACTTATTGGCCAAAAACATTTTGACTTCAAATTTGCCATTTTTCATAACTAGATTTGTCACATCTGTTACAAAAGATAGAAATTGTTAAAGAAATCCATAATACACTGGTTATCATAAATTAAGGAAAAATCACAAAAATAGCGATAACTCCCTCAAAAATAAGCCAAACCGTGTAAAATTTGAATATGTTGCCAAGTAAGAGTAGCTGAGTAAAACTACAATATGCAAATTAGTGGCGCTGCACTCGGGATACGTCATCTGCGAGGAGCATGTTTGAGATCAAACCCAAATATTTTACCGTGAAAGTGACATCAGAAATGTGAGATAGCCAATTCGTAACAATGACCTCCAGGCATCATTTGCCTGAAGAACTAGGATGGAAAGCCATTGGGAGAATAGAGGCAGGATAAAGTCAAACAGAAGTGGCCAGATGGCTAAATGTGCATCCTTCTGTGGTTCATAGACTTTGGAGGCGATTTCAAGCCACAGACTCAGCATCTAGTAAGCCAAGGACGGCCAACTACTATGATGAGCGCCGATGACCAATATTTGACATAACAATTTCTATCTTTTGTATGTGCACGCAGGAATAGAACCGCTACTCCAACTCTTCTTAGATCCTCCCTTGCTGCAGCCACTGGAAGGTTGGTGTCAATGTCAACTGTGTGTAGAAGGCTGCACGAAGGTGGTCTGTGTGCAAGACGACCAGCCATTTGCGTGCCGCTCACGTCACACCATAGGAGGGACCGTTTGCAGTAAGCACAACAACACGTCCACTGGACGCCTGATCAGTGGAGGGCTTTTCTCTGTATGGATGAGTCCAGGTTTAGTCTAGGAAGCGATAGTAGGCGTTATTTGATATGGAGAGAACCTGGAACCTGTTATCATCTGTCAAACATCCGTTAAAGAGATGAATACAGAAGAGGCAGTGTCTGTGTTTAGGGTGGCATCTCTTTGGGTGGATGCACAGACCTCCATGTCTTTCCAACGGAAATCGTGAATGCTCCGGTTTACGGACATTACATCCTGGATGCTTATGTGCCGGGGCAATAGGTGATGCTTTCCTGTTGCAGGACGATAACTCAAGACCACACAGGGCTCGCATCGTAGATGATTATAATCAACAGGAAACAATTATGCGCATGGAGTGGCCAGCTCGATCCCCGGACTTGAATCCTATCGAGCACGTTTGGGATGCTTTAGAGAGATGTCTAGCTGCTCTCAATCCGCCCCCTCAGACCCTTGCCGCGCTTGCAACTGCTTTGCAAGAGCAATTGCTCTCGCTTCCTATGGAACTGATAGACCGCATAATTGAAAGCATCACGCATTGCTGTATGTGCTGTATTGCTTCTAGAGACGACCATATTCCATATTGAAGTTACTTTTCCTACTGCAAACTGACACCTTCGATTTGTTCAGGGCTCATACGGTCCTTAAAAGTCCTTAATTTTGGTCAAAATGAATAAACAGTCCTTAATTTTTCTCATTTGACATTTCTTATCATTTCTAATGATTGCCATTCTAAGTGTGAATTGCGATTTCTCATGAATATGGAATTAAAATTACACGGCTCTTAACAATCTGTTGGCGGATTTGCGTAGCAAACGATAAAAAACACTTAGCTACCCTAGGACGAAAGTATTGGGTGTCTGATTGGCTATTTACTCAGTCTTTCGAAACAGGTGGTATCCATAAATTTAGGCATTGAAATGAATATAATATATAAAATTAGGCATAGTGATGAAAGCGTGAAGCCGGAAGTTCTTTAAGAGGCGAAAGTGATGATGAAGGTGCTCGAGGAAAAAAAAGGGGGGGGATTCTGAAAATATTTGCCAAAATTAGAACAATCCCAACCTGGTCCTTAATTTTCATGTAAGGAAATGTGTACGAACCCTGTTTTATACATATGCTAATTTCTATACTATCATAATTGTCTGGTAATTTATTTTTATGTTATTTGATGCCTTACTATATGTTGTATATTGTGGGTAAGTTTCATAAAATTCTACATGTAACTTTTCCAGTAATCGTGACTTTTGTAATTTTTCCTTAATTTATGATAACCAGTTAATTGGTATCTGTAAAAACAGAACATTTTCAACCCAAGGGCTATTAATTTCATTTTAGCATTTTTCTTTGGTTCACTATAAACGGTGTTTCAGTTTCAAATTGTTGCCACCAAATATTAGAGCCTTGCATTATATTTAAAGAAATTAAATAAATGTGAAGAATCTGCCTGAATGTATTTATGTTTCTCTCATTGTGAAAAGAGAACGATACCTAGAGACATCAAATTTTGAATAATGTAACCCTTCACTCGAATATGGGTATCTGGAAGCCCAAATTTGAAATTGGTTTTATTAATAACTGTAATGAATGTTTGATTAACAAAAAAAACTGGATGATTTCAAAGCATTTCATTAACATTAATATCGCGTGCGCATTCAAGCATGGATATTTAATGCACACTGTTTTTTAACATTTCTTGCTAGTATTATGTTGGTAGCGTAGCAATACAAAGACGTTGCATTATGTAATGGTATTTTGCATTGAATGTCTTTAGCACTTTTCAAATAATGTTTTGAATTCCCCGTGAAAAAAATGTCCATATACCCCTTTAGGCATAATATAAAATCTGAAAACTTTCAGATTTTATTTGTTTGTTCTTGCATATAGTAACCTGTTTCATAATTTTGAATACATGAGTTCGAAAGCAAAGAAGAAGTTGTCCAATCCTGCAGAACTTTCATTTCAGCCGCATTACACAGTCATCATTTCTGCCATATAAGATTTAATATACGGTACAAAGTCTGAAATCCAGGTGTCCAATATCTGGAGTAATCTACACTGGTGTGCAAATTTTAAGCAACAATATAAATTTTAATTAAATAGCCATGAAATTGCAGAAAAGAAGTTCTTGTGATCAGTACACTGAACACACAATTCAGTAGAAAGGTCATGCGTACGCAAATGTCAGGAACAAAACGTCACAGGTGATGTGAGCAAAAAGCAAAACTCGTGCGGTCGGCGCGCTTAACTTGACACTAGAATAAAAGGAAAGACGGGATCGCAATTAAAGACATTTGCTGCAAGTGCAAGTGAGTTCTTTCGTGAAATATGGCTAGAAGAAATCACCTCGATGATTCCACACGTGGAAGAATGATCGGAAAGCTGGAGGAGGGCATAGTGTGACCTGTGTAGCTGAAGGGTACGGAATCAACAAAAGTGTCGTTTTGCGCCCTTGGGAAGCATTCCAAACCATAGGTACAGCAGTTAGAAAGGTTGGTGGTGGCTGTTCCAGGAAAACAACTGCAGTGGATGGCCGATATATTGTCCTGCAGGCGAAAAGAACCCAAAACTAGTCAGCAAGCGCCACAGCTCAGTAACTGTGTACAACAACGGGGCGACAGGTGTCGCGGTTTACTGTGTTTGGACACCTTCATAGAGGTGGCCTATTCGCCCGCCGTCCTGAACGCTGCATTCCTTTTAAAGTTAGCCATCAGCGTCACTGTTTAGAGAGGTGCAAGGAGCACAAAAACTA